AAGTGAAACTTCTTTATCGACGTATGAGAGAAATTTTGTAGTAATGTAAAAAAAAATCGTCACGTTTTTCGGTTACGCGCCATTTTGCTTTTTTTATCAAAGTTTAGTATAGTGACGTAAAGAATATAATATAATATATGATAATAATAACAACAATATATTAGTTTTAAAGTTTGGTTTAAAATAAGAATAACAATATATTAATTTGAAAGTGATAAAATAAAAAGACTTATTCAAATTTAAGTGAATTTACAATTAAAAGTGAGAGTGATTATATATTTCGTTTCATAAATTCAACACGTATGAGCATGATTTTAATATTTATTTGAGGTTAACCTCACTTTTTGATTGTAAGTATCAGTAAATGTATATAAATCTGTTAAAATTAGCAAATATTAATAAATATGACTGTAAATCTAGTGAACATTATTAATTCTAAAAACAATAATAAATATAAATTAAATAATAATTTAAAAATAAAACAAAACACGATCAGAAAATAAAAATATTTATACGTACATCTTTTTTGATTATTCGTTTTTAATGATTTATTTATTCATTTTTAATTCTATAAAATCGTTGCATATCTACAAAATTAACTGTCATTATAATATTGCATTACTTTGAAAAGATAATTCCAATTATTTATTCATAACTTGTGTAATTGATTAAGTCATTAAATATCTGCTTTGAATTATTTTTATTAAGTTATGAAATAAATATGAATATTGAAGTTAGTTCAATATTCATATTCAAGAATAGAGTCCGAAAACTCTATTGAGAATCCAAATGCAATAGTTGTACAAGTAGATGTTCATCATCGCAATTGTTCACAAATCAGTCCATCAGTTGAGCGATCGAGAGAGTACAGAGATAAGTGTAACGTCCGCTAAAATTCAAAATTTTTGTTTTTTTTCTTCCCATAAAAATTTTTAATATTTAATTTACTATTTTATTTTCTAAGTTTAATATTTCTTAATTTTAAGGGCTAATTTCTTAAGCCTGGAGATTTGACGTATGTAGGGGTCATATCGTGCTGTTATGTCGGACTCAACGTTCGACATTTTTATTTAGTATTAAATAGGGTTAATTATTTTATTAATAATTTAATAATTTTTGTTATTTACATCCATCTATTTTGTTATTTTAAAATTTTTGTTATCTTCAATTTTATAGATATTATTGTCAAAAGGAACTTATTTTTAGATAAAAAAAAAATATATATATATATATATTATGTTTATCTGGGTCGGATTGTAAATTACAATTTTGACCCGAGTAAATAAAGGAATAGTCTTATCTAGATATGACTCGGGAAATTCCCGCATTTAGTTGGGCCCGACTACATTAAGGGATTTGAGCCTGAACAAATACCCTAATGGATTTTTAAAATTTTTGTCGAGACTCGTAATAGAAATTTTTCGATAACAAAATAAATGTATAAAAAAAAATTAAATAATGATAATTTAAGGCAACAATAGTTAAATAAAATAAAAGTAAATAATGATAACAAAAAAACAATAATAGTTTAAGTAAAAAAATAAAAAAAAATAAATATTGATAATTTAAATAACAAAATGAATAATCATAATTTAAGTTTAAACAAAAGAAAATAAATGTTACTTTTTAATAAACTTATTTTCGAATAAAATAATAAATTAAAAAAAAATAAAAGTAGATCTAGAAAATTAATAATTTAAGAAACGTTAAAATCTACGAATTAATTAATTACCCAGTTAATTAATTTAAAAAATACTTCACGAATAAACAAATAAGGTATGATAATTATATTTTAATTAATAATTTAATTTAGTGAGCAAAAGATTAGAATTTATTAAACTTTAATTGTTGCCTTACGGCGTTACAATTACCCGTTATAGCCCAGGTATGGCTTTACAAAACTCCTTTTCTCTCTTTCTTAACATCAGCGACTCAGATTTGAAACAAAATAAATAAAATAAAACAAAACAAAACATTAAAAGCTAAGAACTCAAAAAGACTCAAAAAGATAAAGAAAAATAAACAAAATCAGAAAACCATCATGTCAATCCCCTGTTCCCAACTCTTTCCAGCCATCCTTTCATCCATTCTATCGCCCCTTTTTCCAGATCCATGAACTGTTCCTCATTTCCTTCCCATCTTACAATTTTTTCACATCTACTCGTTACATGCTCCATCGTTTCGTTTTCTTCTTTGCATAGCCTACATTTTTTATCTTCTTCATCTAACCAATATCTGCTTCCTTTCCATTCACTGCCACATCTTATCTTTGCTGCTATTCTTTTTTTCTCCAATTTCCATCCCTCTCTTTCCCTCCAATATTCCGGCATACCTTCTACTATTCTCTTCTTGTAATCCTGATTGAAGTTTGAGTTCTCTATCCCCGTTCTTCTCTCCTGTTTCTGTGCCGAGAAGTCTCTCTACTTCAGCTTTCTGCTCATTTCCTTTCTTTGCCGCCACTCCAACTCCAGTCCTGCCGATGACCATCCACATCTCATGAGATAGCTCTCCCTTTCTACATCTTTTATCTTTCCTAGAGCCGTCCTTCTTCCTCTCTCTTCACAGCATTTTCTCACTAACGTCCTTTCTCCGTTGAATCTTAATTTTTCCTCAAACTTTACCGCTCTGTATCCCGTACTGACCCTTATCTTTTCCAGATCCAGCTCTTCCCTCACAATATACCCTGGTACCTGCCTACCTACCCCCATTATCCATCTTCCGTACTGCTCTTGCAGTCTTTCCACCTCCTTTCTCTTATTCCAACCCCACAATTCTGCTCCGTACATCAGGATTCTTTTCACTATGCTGTTAAAGAGAAGCATCCTCCATTTAAGTCTTCCTCCAAATTTCCTTTCTCCTAATCCCCATACTCTTCCCATTGCCGGCCTCGCTTTCCTCACCCTTTCCTTGACGAGGTCCTTCGCACCATTATTTCTCATAAATATATATCCTAGATAGCTGAAATTCTTTACCTCTTCTATCTCCTCTCCCTCCCACTTCCATGTTCTCTTCTTCCTTCTTCCTCTCCCTCCTCCTTTGCTGAATTTCATCATTTTAGTTTTTCCTACATTGACCTCTAGTTTTCTCTTCTTGAAGTATCTCTCCCCTAGCTTCATCATCTCCCTCATTTCTTCTTCGCTTTCTGCCACCATGGCCGTATCATCCACGTATGCCAGTGTCCGGATTTTTCTCCTTCCCACTACCGCTCCTCCCACCTGTCTCCTTCTCATATGATCTTCTATATCTGCCACGTATATATTAAAAAGGGTAGGGCTCAAAGGACACCTCTGTCTCACTCCTTTCTTCATCCAGAATCCCTCCGATAGTTCTCCTCCTACTCTAACCCTGCACTTCGTCTCCTTATAAATCCTTCTCACCTGCTCAATAAGTCCTTCCTCTAATCCTATCTTTTCCATTGCCTTCAATAACTCTACTCTATCTAGTTTATCAAAGGCTGCTCTTAGATCCAAAAACAATTTATATGCAGCTCCTCCTTTCTCCTTTATTACCTTGTCTATCCAGTGCTTTAGGCTAAATACGTGGTCCATACACCCTCTTCCCTTCCTGAACCCCGCCAGATTGTCCTCAAACCCTTCTTTCTCTTCTACCGACTTCAAGATTCTCTCATTCAAGATCGAGGCATATATTTTATACGCCGTACTTGTGAGAGTCACTCCCCTGTAATTATCCAAACAATCCTTTTCTCCTTTCTTAAAAATCGGAGTTATAATCCCTTCTCTCCAATCTTCCAGAAAGTATTCTCCTCTCCACACTTCTCTTATAATCTCTCTTATTCTGCACCTGATCTTTCCTCTTCCATATATCCACGCTTCATTTTTTATTTCATCCCCTCCTTCCGCTTTCCCTTTCTTCAGCTTCGCAATCTGCCTGTCAATTTCTTCATCTGATGGTTCTGTCTCCCATTTACTTTCTCCCGTCCTGCCCACCTCCTTTAGAATCTCTGGTTTTTCTCCTAACCCGTATAATCCTTTCAAAAAGTGGTTTTTCCACTCTTCTATTGTAAACTTTTCTGTTATACCCTCTTTCTTCTTTAAGTCTCTTCCCAGAAATTCCCATGCCTGTTTCTCATTCTTTATCCTTCCAAGTTTTTTCTCCATCTTTTCTTCCCAGCTCTTTCTCTTCCTCTCCAAAAGCTCTCTATATTTCTTCCTCAGCTTAGTCAGCATCCTTGCTCCCCTCTTCTTCCTTATTTCTCTATTCAAATCTCTTTTAGATCGGCTGCACTCCTCATCCCACCATCCCTTTAACCCCCTCTTGTTCTTTACTAATCTTTTGACACAAGATTTTCCCACCTGTTCCTTCAGTTCTCTCCACCTTTCTTCACCTCTCTGTTCTTTCCACTCTATACTTTCCTCCTTCTCTTCGTACCTCTCCAAGTCTCTACGTTTCCAGCATTGAACCCAACGTTGTTTCACCTCTCTTTCTATTACTTTATCTTGTCCACCACTGATTCCTTCTTTCAGCTCTACTATTATCGGTTGGTGGTCCGAGTCGATCCGAGCTCCTACTTTTATTTCCCTTATCTCCTCCCATGATTCCAAATTCGTTATCCCATAATCAATTACTGATCTGGATTCTCCCCTCTCAAAGGTCCATTCCCCTCCTTCTCTTCCTCCTTCATTCCCGTTCATGATTATCCACCCTCTTTTGTCAACCCAGTCTAACAGATTCCTTCCTTCTCTGTTTACCACCGCATCTTTAGACCACCTTTTCTCTCCCTCATTTAGTTCTTCTATGCTCCCTTCCTCTTCTGTTCTTGCATTCCAATCCCCCCCTATAATCATTCTTCCTTCTGGTTCCTCAACCCATTCGTCCAAATCCTCCAGCATCTCTTTTCTTCCTCCTTCGTTGTATATCGTAACTACGTTCCAAAGTTTTCCATTTTCTATCACCTTCCTCCATATTGCTCCATCTTTTCGCTCATGTCCCTTGTCTTTCTCTAATCCTCTTTTTACCCCCGAAAAGATTCCCCCCTTTGCTCTCCTTCTTTTATTTTCTCTCCTCGCAGGTTCGTACTTCCATATCCACTCCTTGGGCAGTCTCCTTTCCCACCACCCCCACTCTTTCTCCTCTACCCATGTCTCTAACAAACCTATGATGTCAAACTCTTGTATATAATCCCAAAACTCCTGGTCCATCCCTTTTACCCCTGCCACATTCCAAAACACACACCTTACCCCCCTGGCCTCTTTTTCTTTTAAATTACCTCTTGCCGTCTGTCTTGTTTTCTGACTATGGGCACTTCTCCTACCACTTTCCAAACCCATAGCACGCCGTCTAGCCAGAGCTTCCGAAACCCCACTTTTACCTCCTTCACTTCCTCCTTATTTTTGGCAATCCATGCTCTTCTATGCAATTCTTTCTGGGCATTTCTTTCCTTTCTCGTTCTGTCGTTCTCTATAAAGATCTTTTTCCCTTTTAACCTTCTCTTCTTCTCCATAATCTCTCTTTTCCCTGTTCCCATCTTCATTCATACCCATGTCATTTTCTTCCCCTCCTTTCCGATAATTTTCGCCCCTTCTATATCTTCTATCTCGCTTTCTACCCCCAGCTCCTCCCTAAAGAATTTTGCCACCTCCTCCTTACCCGTATCTTCTCCTTTATCCCATCCAATGATAACCAGGTTTTTACTCCTTTTTTCCCTTTCTTCCTCTTCCACCCATTTTTCTTCTGCTTCCCGTCTACTGCTCCTTCTTTTCCTTCTTGATTTTCTGCTTCTCCCGATAGAGCTATATTTAATTCTCTTAATTTGTCTATCTCCTTTTCCACCTTGTCCAACCTGTTCTCCATTGCTTTTTCTTTTTCTGCTATACCCGTTTCCAACTCCTTCCACTTTTGGTTATTACCTCTACATCCTGCTTGCATTTCTGCCGATAATTTCCCCACTTTTAACTCCAATTCTTGGTTCTTCTTTTCCATTTTTACAAACTCACTCTTTAGCTCATCAAACTGATTCTTTCTTTCTTTTTTCTCCTCGTCCAGCTTATCAAGCACCTTTTTAAAACCCTGACTTATCATCTCTTCTACCGATTCCTCCTTCTTTCCTTGCGAAACTACTCTCACTTTCTGCTCTCTATCACTTTCTTCGTTCCCTTTGCGCTTAGCTCCCTCATTACGTGCCCAATCTCTAATGTCCTTTCCATTTAAATCTCCCAAACTGCTAGCCCTTAACTTCTTCCAGGATGCCGCCTTCGGGTCTCTTCCTCGACTTTTCACTACTGTGATGTCCCCCTCACTTCCCTGTGTTTGAAATCCTTCACCTTCTAGCTCCATTAATAATAATTCTGGCAGTTCACCCGAATCACTTTGTGTCTCCCTCTATGTGCTGGTTTCCTTACTCTCTACACTCCCCACCTCTTTTACCGGCTGCGTATTCATTGCTACTCTTTGCCCCTCTGTTCCCCTGGCCCTTACACTATTCTAACCTCCAATACTATACCCCGTACTTTATTCTCTTAAAAAACTAATTAATTGGATCTTCCACACCCAGATTATTATCTATAACTCTTTTTCTCCGTTTGACACTTCACCTGCTCTAACAATTATTATTTTAAATTCCGTCTTTTTGTTTATATCACCTTTTCTATTGCGCACTGATGTCACACCCACAAAATCCCAATTGAAACTCCTAGTGAACAAAGTAAAAATTTAACAATAATTTTTATATCTAATTGTTAACATAGAGTTTAAGAGAAGGGGGTCAACAGGCCCTTGAGACAACTTCGAGGGAGTAGTGCGCTACCCGAAGCGATGGGCTCTTTTGAGAAAGGGAAACTCGTGACCACTTTGTGTTATTGTAATTGGCCTAGAGTTTCCCCAAACATCAATTATTAAGAAAAAGCTTTTTAATTTTGCAAACATTATTTGTGATTAGATTCGACATAATTGTATGTAAAATTACAAAAAAATATTGTAATTTATATTACAATAATTTCATAAAAAATTTTAAATACTTTTTTTTATTTTTACAATTTTCATTGTAAAATGATACAGTGCAATGTAATGTTACCAGAAAATTTTATTTATATTACACGAATTGTAATTCTACTTGACTGTTTTCCAATTTTAAAAACAATACTTTTCAGTTTTACAAAAATAAGACTGATGTACCAAAAAACAACTATGTCCTTCATATTTATTTTTACTAATGTTTAGTCTATGGTTGTTTATTTGCAATAATACATTCAAGGCATCATTTATCTTTTATAAATTTTAATATTACGCTCAAACGATCATTTCAAAATCAATATATTTGAATGAGTATATGTTAGACTTTAATTTTTATAATATTCGATGAATTATAAATAATGTAAAAGTTAGTTATTTTCCATCAATAAACAGCATTAAATAACACAAATAATGTAAATAATAAATAATAAGCCGTAATGCTCAATCACCACATAGGATTAGCTTATAAGAATAATAAGATGTTGAACCACCTATCGGTTGTACGGCGTAGGGCGTTAGGTATCGGTCTGGCAAGCGCGCGGCTCGCGTTCGCTTCTTAAATAGGGTAAATATTAT